CTATATTAGCTTCCAAGATGAAATAAGGTAGGATAGGTAGATGAAATTGGTAGGATACATAGCTAAGGAAAAAATAAACTCCCAGAAGATAACATTTTGGATGTAAAGTTAAAAAATAAAATATAATGAACTATCACACACCCTTGCTACTATCTTTAGTGAACAGAAATCATCTACTCCAGAAAGAGAAACTTCTAATTATATTTAGTCTTAGTGATACTCTTAAGTTGTTGAAGCAGAAAAAGAAAAGTTATTAGTATTAAGCAAAGTTCCACCAATTTAGTTGCCATCAACTTAGGTAAAAGCTATGCTGAATCTATGAAATTAAGAAGATTATTAGATTTACATAATAAAAAGTCATAAAATTATAATTCAAAGTAACTTGAGGGTATTTATTGTTTTAACTTTTTCAATAGATACTCCCAGTAACTACATTCATTAGGCTTATTGCATGACAGACCATATTTAACTAAAACTAAAACTCTCAATATATATACACACACACACTCAGTACCCATGAATCAAAGTGCCCATGATATGAATCAGGGACCATGAGTGAAAAGAATTCAGTACAGAGATATTAATGTCTTAGAATTTGTAGATGATGGATATTTCATATGTAAAATACCAGGTATTTGTGGCACATTATTTGCTTTAGTTCCTTATTGCTTGCTGTAATTTGCATCCTACCTGTTTTTCTCCATGTCCATATTCAGGTCCTTGGGTAGGTAAAAAGCAGGATATATGGCCACAATTTTTGCTCTTTCTATAAGAGACATAGCTGTTCTTACAGTGGCATTTTGAGCATGTACAAACACCATCAATGACAATAAAGGAAAATAGATTATTTAATATTCCAGTTTATTAAATTATATCTCAATACAAAATCATCTTATATAATCAATGATAAATCTTTCAGAACAAATTCCAGTGTATGAATTCTCCCACAGTGCCATGTTTTTGAATAACGTATATACAGAATAAAGGCAGGTTAAACAAAAATCCCTAACATGGCTTTATTATTGGCCTATAAGTTGGTTTATATCTAATGGATGGTTTCTATAAAATGTGTTTAATTTTGTGCATTTCTCTTCCAAAGTCATCATTCATAATGCTTTTATTCATACTATAAATTTGAAAAAATAATGTGACCAAATGAAAAAGCAAAATTATTTTTATCATAGTAATGAAGTAATTGTGGGAAAGGTGGAGATCATAAAAGAAACGCAGGAGAGAGGAGGTACATAGCCACAGGCAGCCAATACAGACTACTAATGGTTTCCTTAGTTTATTCTCTTCAGGTGAATTCACACTCTGCCTAGGTATCCCTGCTAGGAAAACTGCAGGCAGCCTGCAAGGTCAGCTCAAAAGAGTTGCCACATGATCTGTAACTAGCAAACCTGAAGAGGTCGGGTTGCCTGAGTTCCTGGGAGACCACATCTTGCCACAGTGTGCACCAGATGCCAGACATGGGGACCTAGGGTTTAATGTTCGCCATGTTGCATTTCAGTATTCTTTGGTCTGATTGCTCCTTATTATTTTCCTATTCTGCCCTCTTTGAAGGAGAATGTTTACCCTGCACCACTGTATTTTAGAAGTATGTAACCTTTTCTATTTTTATTTTTATTAAGGACTCAAGGTTTTAGTTTGCCTTGAGACTCTTGAGGACTTTGTAATTGGACTTTTGAGCAATGCTAGAATGGTTAAAATTTGGGGGACTCTTGGAAATGGACTGAATGCATTTTGCATGATGAGATGGACAGAAGCCCTTGGGGGCCATGTGTGGAATACTATGATTTAGTTCTTATATGTCCCCAAATGCCCATGTGTTAAAGGCTGAGAGTCCAGCTTGGTAATATTAAGAGGTGGTGGAAACTTTAAGAGGTGAGGATAAATAGGGATTTTAGGTCACTGGGGGCATTATTTCAAATGTGTCAAAGCTGGTCTTTTAACCCTCTCTCTTTCCAGCCACCATGAAGTCAGCAGCTTATTCTACCATGTCTCCAACTTAATGTTCTGCCTCACCACAGACCAAAAGTAATGGGAGTTTCTGAACATGGAAAGAAATTTATGAAATCATGAGCTAAAATTAGCCTTTCCTGTTTTTAAGTTGATTATCTTAAGTATTTTATTACAGCAATGGAAAGCTAATACAATCTATAAATTATCAAAGAAAATGTTCTCACATATGTGATGCTAAAACTCACATTGGAGTAAAATGTCTTAACAATCATTCACAAAACTGGAATGTTTAAATAACTAATATTCTTTTAGCATCTATTCAACATAAAGATACACAGATAATCTGGAAAAAAATCAGAATTTCTTCAAAGAAAAAAATCTCCAAAGCATTTAGAAAAAAAGGGAGATAAAAGCATTTAAGTCAACTGGAAAAATTTAACAGAAGTTAACAATAAAGGTATAAAAGCTTGAGATTTCACACTTTATCAGGGCTCTCAGTTGCTGATAGTATTTTCAAAACAAACATAATACATACACACATGTGTATGTGTAGAAGTACACATACATATATGTAAATGTGTATATATGTATATGTATGTTTGTGTGTGTTTTGTTTTTGCAGCACTGGGGATTGAACCCAGGGCCATGCAGGTGCTCAGTGAGTGTTCTGTCACTAAGCTACATCCCAAGCACATTTTTTTTTCTTTTTATGGTGCTACAGACTATACCCAGGGCTCTGAACATAAAAGGCATATGCTCTACCACTGAACTACATCAAAAGGTCCATATGAACATTTTTAAAGACTACACTAATGGAACTTATTTCAGAAAGTGTTGCTTCTACTTGAAAATGTCTTCTGTTTTCTTACTTTTGAATAAAAAAAACTCTGATTTTGGTGGGCTCTCTAGCTTGCACAGAGGAAATATCTTTACCTCACAGAATGTTAAGAGACTACATTTAGGCTCAAATTATTATATTCTCATAATTACTGACATAATCTCTTTAAGACTAAGTAAAAAGGAAAAGTCTGTTAACCATAATGCCCAGATGAAGCTCCACCAATTCCAAATCTGTCACAATCTACCATTTTATCTCTTGTAAAAGGTAGGAACATTTCAACTACAATTTTGACAAGGTAGATTTTTTTCTTCCACATAAAAATAAAATTTATTATCTATAAAAGCTCAGAAACCCTCAACTTTATATTTTAAGCAAACTTCAATTAAAATAAAGTTACTTCTTATTTTGTTTACCTATTTATTCATTCAAATGTTTCTAAGCATATAGTCACTTTCAAGCCATAAGAAAGCTAAAAAAATGAGATAAAGTCCCCACCTTCATTGAGGTGAGAATCTAGTATGGTACAAAGAAACACGAAATATTTTTACTTGATAAATATTTACTGACCATGTATGTGTAAAATACTGCTAAAAGGAGAAATATGAAAATGTCTAGACAAGACATGGGACCTTCCATGAAAATCTGTATAAGAAAGGAAATAAAACTACACATGATTTAGACAGTGGAACCAAAGGAAGGATGGAATGAGGATAATGCAGAAATTCTAAACATTAAGCTAGTGGGTCTCCTTTATTCACTCATCCTAAGGTATTTATGCAGTACCCACAATTTACCAAGCCTTGGACTGAGTAACAGTTATACAATATTCCAAGACCCCAAGCTGTATGCATTTTTGGGAGGAAATAAAAAAACTAGGATATACAGCCTGGCCTGGCTGTAGAAGCAGGGTACATAACAGGGGCTAAAGTAGTTTTGGGAATATTTATCTTTGGTATCTTTGGTGTTAACTTGAAGAAGTATTTTTCTCTTCCTTTTCTACACTGAGACCCAGGAACTCCTTCATCAGATTCACTCCTGGTGCTCATTTAAACAGATTTGTAAACCCTCTTCTAAGACTATCTGAGTAAGAAGAGGATCAAGAAACTGAATTATTAATGACTACAGAGATCACTGAAGTATTATGTGAAATTATTTAATAAGTGCACTACATATTTATCCTCCCCAAAGTCAAAGAAGTTTAAAAGAAAAATAACACCACCACTATAAAGATGTTTTTAAAGGTATTTTATATAACAAGTAGAGCCTCAAATTCATTTACCAGATAAGCTAGGGTATTATAATATGATAAGATTTTTATTCTCCATAATGCAAATGCTAAATTCTTTTGCAATAAAGATACAGTGAACATAAGGGAAAGTAAAATACGACCCTAAATCATCATTAATTATTTCAGTCTGACTTGTCAACTTATCACTTTGCAAATTATTTTCTTCTATAGCCAAGAGAAATATTAGTTACAACTTAAAGTAGCAATTTCTTTTTATTAAATAATCCATCATGTCTTGTTCATTAAAGTAACCTATTTTTCTCTTTAAGATTTTTCTGCCTAGAGGCTTCAATAGAAGTCATTACAGGTTTTGGGTCTTTATAAACATACTTGATTTTATAGTTTGTTAATTTGGTTAATTAATTTAAATGGACTCATGAAAACTGTTCTGTTAGTTTTTGCAAAGCACAGGTTTTTAAAAACTAAAGTATAAAGAACTGCATTTGAAATGAAATTTGGATATTAAAAAAAACTATGACATTACTTTTAGGTAAAATTTCATATGTAATATTAAATAAAATGTAATTCAATATGAAAATCTGAAAATTTTGAAGAAGCAGAGCATGGCATGCTGTGGTAAGGAGAGAGAAAACTCCCTTAAAACTGAACATTTGGTACTTTCTAGACTATGTGGGTTTGCATCTGGAATACAATACTTTGTTGTTCTTTTTGTTGCTTAAAAACACTTAGCCACAATTCCAGATAATGCATAGTGAAGTCTAGCCTCATTAGTATATGGGAGTAAAGAACATAATGCTCAGTGTTATGCTTTAGGTATGAAGCATCCCCCAAAAGCTCATGTAAATGCAAGAAAGTTCAGAGGTGAAACAGATTATGAGAGGTGTACCTATCAGTTCATTAATCCACTGATATGGATTTAACTGAATGACAAGTTTAAGCAGGTACGGTATGGCGAAAGGAGAGAGGTCACTGGGGAGGTACCTTTTGGGTTTCTTCCCTGGTGAGTAGGGCTCGCTCTCTGTTTCCAGTTTGCCATATCCTGCGAACCATGATTTTGTACCTTGATGTATGCCTAGATTTATGGAGTTAGCAGGCTATGAATTGAACCTTTGAACTCATAAGCCAAAATAAAATTTCCTCCTCTAAATTGTTCTTATCAGGATTTTGGTCACAGTGAAGCAAAGCTTACTAAAACATCTGGTTACCCTAAAACAGAATTAATTAGATATAACTAAGGAAACTACAAAATTGTTTACATTTCTGTGTGTACAACCCACAAAGATGTGCCTTCACAATTCTAACTGCTGGGATATAATACCCCAGGACTTTATTCCATTCAAGTTCCATAGAGCAGGCATTTCCCAACTTGCAAAGCTTCCTGTGGACATTCAAAAAGAAAGGTTGCCACTGAGGGGTAATGAACTTGTAGCAACATGTCCTTTGGTGACTTTTAATCTGTACAATCAGGATATAGTTTATAGAGAACAGGTTTCCTTGAGTTTACGTACTCTGTGAAAGTGGGAAAAGAACCCAGAAAACTCCTCTTAAATGACTTTATTCAAAAACAATATATTTATCCCAAGAACAATCAGTCAAAAATTTGGGTCTACCTTTGGGAAAGAGAAACAGAAAAGGGGAGGAGTCTCAAACTTTACAAATTATGGCAGGATAAAAGCTAATGAAATTGAAGGAAATAGATATTTTTGTGGTTCCTTATTGATCCATTATTTTTGTTATTTGAATAATTTTATTGAACTTAAGAAAAGAACAAAGGCAGGACATATATACAATCAAATTACAATTTAGAATAACCCAAAGAAAGCTTCCTGATGGAAGTTTTGGCTAATTCAATAAATGTTCTAAGGTATGTGTCTAGTTTTTTTTAAAAAAAAAAGCTAACGAGAATTTTAGAGATTTATACTTTTAGGAGGAAAAATAATTGAAATGTGCTCCAAAATATTTCATACAATATCATGAAATGCAAAAGTCATCTATAGTTGAAGGTGCTGAGAGACTCTGCAGGCTGTGTGTGGACTGTGTTGCACATTATGCCTAGTGAACAGGATAATTACACATATCGGTATCCAAAATATAAAACTGTGTCTGGGAACTTAAGGTGGACATTTCCTCTGGTTGACTGCCCAGAGACATTGTGAATTTCTATTCAGCTCTGCCATGTCCCACACAGCATGAGAGTAGGGTGACCTGCTGTAGTAACACAGCCCCTCTGAAATGGGTATGATCTGACAAGATGCCAATCAACCTGCTGTTTGCAAGAGGTCAGAAAGCAAGACTCCACCCTTGAAACCTTATCTCTGCCTTTGATGTACACCTTTAAATAAACTATGGGAGCCATTTTCTTTTTGTCTAGCTGCAGCTCCTCTATGGACTGAACCTATCAGGACTCCATCTTTAAAACTATCCTTCTGACTCTATCTTGTTCTTCGTTAATTATTCCAGGCTTTAATTTCTCAGGAGGCTTATCCCTCGGAGCAGGCAAGAATTCCCTGGTAAGGTGCTGGGCACCCCACAATAGAAGGGACCTATGCCAACTGCCACTACCTGTGTTTCAAGCCAAATGACTACACTACTTACAATGTGATGACAGTGTATGATCAAGTGAAAGTATACATTTTCCTGCATTTTTCTACATTCTCTTCCATTTCCTACAATCTAACAAAGTTAGAATATTGAAAAAGAGATGAAAAAAAAACAATGATTTGTTATTGGTTTTTAAATGGATTAACAGAAACTTACAGTCAAAATGGGGGCTAGAAAACTGTTTTTTTAAAGGAGAAAGAATGTTAATACAGTATCTGTGATTGAGTATAAAACTTAAAAGCTTTAAGCTTTCTTGACACACAGTTAAAAAAGAAAACCTGCCCCTGAACAAAATGGCAAAATAGAGGAGGGTGTTTTCCTGGCTGCTCCCTAGCATGAAATCAAGACATCAGATAGGCAACTTTTCAGCAAGGTGGGTGGGGGGAAAAGGGGGGAGGGGTTACAGGGAGTTAATACTGGACTTTCAAAGCAGATCCGAGACTCAGGAAGTTGGATATAAGAAAATAAGGAGGAAATCCCCAGCAACACTGCTAGCAGCTCCACAGTAGTCCTCCTGTAAGCAAAGTGGAGGGATAAGGAACCCACATTCTTAGGAGGCCTGTGGCACATTTGGGTATGCAGAGATCAGAGATCAAAGACAACGCCATGCTGTATCCTATCCTTGTGCAGGACAGGAAGCATGGCTATATCGGCTGTCCACAGACAGAGAAAGGAGCCATTTTGTAGCTGCACCATGGGCCCATGGGTAGAGGGGAGCAGCTTTGGGGACTGACTTCTGACAAATTTAAGCTGGGTTAAAAGTACAGGCTTGGAGAACCCTCACCACATGACATAGAAAGTGCCTAAATTACCAGAAGGTCAGATGCAAAAAGGGGATTTCATGGGAGAGTGCAGGTCATTGAAACACCACTGACAACCCCAGCCCCAACTCCCTGCAGTCCTGCCTATTGCAGGACCAGCTGGGAGGGACAAGCTCAGCCTGGTGTGGGGAGGAGTGATTTGACTTTGGAGCCTGAATCCCAGTTTGTAGGTGACAAAAGGGATAAATGATTTGTACCTCCCTGCAAGAGTGGAACCCAGGGTTTCCCAGCATGGACAGGCAATTGCTGGGTCCTGGAGGAGAGCTGATTTAAAATCCTCAGACTCAGTGAAGAACACAGAGACTACCCATGCCTAAATCCCACCTCCAGGAACTTTGCCTACAAGATCTCCTCTCTCACTCCGGCAACTCCACTGCGAGGGGAGAGTAGACATCACACATCAGCCCATGCCACCTAACACTGCTGAGAAGGGAAGCCAAGAAATTCTCAACTCCAATTGAAACAATTCTTTATATTTCCATTGAGAACGTTTTGTTTCTTCTTCTTCATTTCTCTGATTAATGGTGAATGAATGACTAATGGACACTTATACATATTTGTCTCTTTTTATCATTTTTATAATTTTTGGAAGTCAGTTATCATCAATAGCTCAGTCTTTTGTGGGCTACGATATTTGATCACTATATTTCAGTTTTGTTTTACACTCTATTATTTATTTATTTATTTTATTTTATATACCAGAAATTGAACTAAGGGGCACTTAACCACTGAGCCACATCCCCAATCCTTTTCTGTATTTTATTTAGAAACAGGGATTCACTGAGTTGCTTAGCACCTGACTAAAGTGCTGAGGCAGACTTTGAACTCACAATCCTTCTGCCACAGCCTCACAAACCACTGGGATTACAGGCGTGCACCACTATACCTGGCTTAATTTTTTAATGTATATTTTCTCTCTTGCTCCCTCATAATCTTCACATCCTATATCTCTTCTGGTCTCTCTGTTTTTAAAATTCTCCCCATTTTTGAAATTGTGAAACCTTTTGCAAATGTACTTTTTTTCCTATGGGCAATAACTGATCACATCATTTCTGTTCATTGTGCCAATGAACATAGAAGAAGATGTAGCAGGAACTATTTGGTTTAAAGCTGTATATTATTTGAATGGGTTGCTGTTATTATTTGTCTGCCCCAAAACTATGAAATACTGGAAAGCTGCAGGGAAAGTATAGGTCCACAGGGTAGAAACTCTACAGCCTCAGATTCCTATCTTTAAGTAGGTAGGCACACAAACAACATGAAAAAGCAAGGGAACAAACTGCACTAACAAACCAACATGATCCAATAACAGAACCCATATACAACACAGTGGAAGAAATGCTCACAGTTAAACTGATCTGTGCAGCACAGAAAGACAGAAGAAAAGATGTCAGAGAGAAAATACAGGAAGTGAGAGATCACTTCAATAAAGTGATAGAGGAGATTCTGAAAAAAAGAAATCAAGCAGTCAAGCAGAAATTCTAGAAATAAAAGAATCAATAAAACAAATTAAAGATTCAATGGAAAATATCACCAGCAGACTAGAGCACTTGGAAAATAGAGTTTTAGACAATGAAGAGAAAATATATAACCTTGAAAATACTGCTGAATACAGACAAAAGATGTTAAGAGACCACAAACAGAAATTCTAAGAAACATGGGATAACACAAAAAGACCAAACTTAAGATATACTAGGATAGATGAAGGCTCAGAGATAAAACCAAAGGAATGCCAATATTTTCAATGAAATAAAATCAGAAAATTTTCCAAACCTCAGGAAACAAATGGAAAATAAAATATAGGAGACTGACAGGATCCCAAATATACAAAATTAAGACAGACTCACAACAAACCATATTATCATGAAAATTCCTATTATTACTGTGTGTATATAGTGAATGCATGACCAATGTGATTCTGAAACCTGTATACTCACAAAAATGAGACATTATATTCCATCTGATTCAAATATATGATATGTCAAGGTCATTGTACTGTCATGTGTAACTAATTAAAACAAATAAAAATAAATTTAAAAAAATTAAAAATTATAGATTTTTATTGGTGCAATAACACATTAGAATAGAACTTCTTCTAACCTTATAAAATAGTCATTTTGAATCAGCAAGAAATATTAAAGAATATAATTAAAATATCAAAAAAAAAAAAAAGAAAATGCCTTACATAATTAGGATAAACCTTTAAAGGCTATCTGAGAAAAATAACAGGTCAAATTTAAGGAAAAATCATTCTGGATCACAATGCAGGCTCTCAAAGATAGGAAGTTTTGTAATAATAAAGGCCAAACTCTGAAAGAAAATGGATGCCACCAAAAACACAATACCCGGCAAAATTAGCTTCAGAATTGACAATGAAATAAAAACATATCATGATAAACCCAAGTTAAAAGAATTCACAACTAGAATATATGCTCTACAAAACATACTAAACAAAATATTTCATCAACGAGAAATAAAAGATAAAAGTGAAAACCAGCAAATGAAGGGACTACACTAGAAGAATAGTCATAGGGGAAACAAATTCAAATTATAAACCAGAAATAAATCAAAATGACAGGAAATAAAAATCACTTCTCAATAATAAAACTGAATGTAAATGGCCTAAACTTATCAATCAAAAGACAAGAGTGTTGGTCTGGGGTGGTGGCTTAGTGTTAAGAGTGCTTGCCTGGCATGTGTGAGGTTGCCAACCAGAATATTTCACTGTAACAGTGGGAACTCAGTTACTCAGTTACTCATTCTCAGTACCACATATAAATAAATAATAAATAATAAAGTTCCATCAACAACTAAAAAATAAGATACAGACTGGCAGATTGGATTAGTAAACAAGATCCAACAATATGCTGTCTTGAAGAGACCTCGTAAGCAGGACATCCACAGATTTAAGGTAAAAGGATGAGAAAAAAACTTACCATTCATTGGATAAAGCAACTGTGGTACATATACACAATGGAATATTACTCAGCATGAAAATATAAAATCATGGCATTTGCAAGTAAATGGATGAGTTGAAGAAGATCATGCTAAATGAAGTAAGTCAATCCCAAACAAAACAAAGGTTGAATTTGTCTCTGATAAGTGGATATTGATCCATAATGGGGGTAGGGGAGGGAGCATGCAAGTAACGGAGGAACTCGAAATAAGGATGGGAGGAGAAGGAATGGGGCCTAGGTATTTGTGTGAAGACACAAATGGGGTGACTCTACTTAGTGTACAACCAGAGAAATGAAAAATGGTGCTCCATATGTGTACTATGAAATGAATTCTGTTGTCATGTAGAACAAATTAGAACAAATTAATTAATTAATTAATTAAAATCTTAGCATTCACATGGATCTTGTAAATAAGCAGGGGTTTCTATCCTCATATCAGATAAAGTGGACTTCAAGTCAAAGTTAATCAGAAGAGACAAAGTAGTACACGTCAGACCACTTAAGGGAATTATACATCTACAAGACATAACAATCATAAATATCTATGCTCCAAACAATGGAACATCTAAATACATCAAACAAACCCTTCTCAATTTCAGGAATCAAATAGACAACAAAATAATACTGGGTGACTTTAACACAACTCTCTCATCACTAGATATGTCTACCATACAAAAACAAAACAAAGAAGCTACAGAACTGAAAAACACAATTAATAATTTAAACTTATGAAACATATATAGAATAATTCATCCGTCAATGACTTACTATAGTTTCTTCTCAGTAGCACATGAATCATTTTCTAAACAGAGCATATCTTAGGCCACAAAGCAACTCTTAGCAAATAAAAAGAAACAGACATAATAAATATATTTTATCAGATCATAATGGAATAAAATTAGAAATGAATTATAAAATAAAAAATAGAAGCTGCACTAACACCTGGAGACTAAATACCATGTTAATGAATGACCAATGGATAGCATAAAAATTCAAGGTTGAAAGTTAAAAAATGCTTAGAGGTAAATGAGAATAGGAATACAATATATTATACTCTCTGACAAGTTGGTTCTATAAAAAAAATAAATTTCAATTTTTTTTTTTTTTTTGAAACCGAGGCGGCAGACCCGATCGGCTGCTTGGCCGTTGCTGCTGAGCCTCTTCTGAACAACAGCGACAAGGACTACTGCGAGCGGGAGCGGCAAGAGTCTGAGGCGCAGCGGTGTCGCCTCCTTAGGATGACCAGTGTGGTTAAGACAGTGTGCAGCGTGCAGCCCCCCTCTGTGCTGAGCGGCGGCCTGTCGGCAGATACACAAACTCAAGCTACTACCAAGAGTCTGTTACCTATTAAGTCCAAAGAAGTCGATGTTTCCAGACATCTTTATTCAGGAGGTTCAGATAATGATATTACAAAAATCACCAAACCAAAGCGAGAGAATGGGCAGATGAAGGCTGCAGAGACTGCCATCAAGAGGAACATGAAGAAGAGCTACAAACCATTGAGTAAGCAAAAATCAGAGGAAGAGCTCAAGGATAAAAATCAGCTATTAGAGGCTGTCAACAAGCAGCTGCACCAGAAGTTGACTGAGACTCAGGGAGAGCTGAAGGACCTGACTCAGAAGGTGGAGCTGCTGGAGAAGTTTCAGGACAATTGTTTAGCGATTTTAGAGAGCAAGGGCCTCAACCCAGGCAGTGAGACCCCGGCATCACAGCCGGAACCTACTCTGGATCACACAGACTCTATGTTGCTGTTAGAAACTTTGCAAGATGAATTGAAACTTTTTAATGAAACTGCCAAGAAGCAGATGGAGGAGTTACAGGCCTTAAAGGTAAAGTTGAAGATGAAAGAAG